TTGTTGCCATGGCTGAGATTTAATGAACGTTCATGTGGTAGAGAATTATGTTGTGATTTAATTGTATGTGTTGTACTGTAAATACGAAGAATTAACATAAAATTTACATACGGCTCTCTTTCTGATAAGTGATAATTTTACCCAAGCACATCATATATCTTCAATTCTTCATATCTTAGAAATATACGTGACTGTCCTGATGTAAACAACTTTACTTGAGGCTCTTAATTTGTTTTCAAAGTTCAAGCCAAAAATTACTGCACCTCTTGTAAGGATGCTTCAAAAGATGAGCAGAAAAAAGTGCACGCTGTTAACATTTTTTCCTTTTACCAGGCTAGCAGGCTGTATGTATATTGTTTAATCTTCGTGATATTTTATTGAAATTCTTCATATAGGCTTTGGAAAGATGTGAATATTGGCGCTTGTCAGATCAGAAGGGAAAACCCCCTGGTGTTCTTGGATGGTGGCCATCTCGTGCTGTTACTTTTATAGAAAATCATGACACTGGTTCTACCCAGGTTTGAACTTCTCCGTAGTCGTTACTTTTCGAGATTCTTTTGAGTTTAAATTTTGATTCAAAATTCATTATCAATATCAATATGAGTGACTCCACTACTAAAGTTGGAGTTTTTCAAACTTAAAGTAGGCATTTTCCTTTGAATCTTTGATAGAGAGAGAGAGAGAAGGAGATTCCTATTAGTGTAATCATAAAAATTTGTAACTGTTTTATGCATAAAAAGTAATGGTTAAAGTTATTTAAGTTTTATTCATTGTTGTGGTATTTGTAAATGCTTTTTGATTGTACTTATTTGATACGCTAAAAATATCAACAATCATAAAGTTTCTTTCATATTTTCTCTGAAGGGTCATTGGAGATTTCCAAGCGGAAAAGAAATGCAGGGATATGCGTACACTCTTACTCACCCAGGAACTCCATCAGTGTTCTTTGACCACATTTTCTCTCACTATAAAACTGAAATAGCAAAACTTATCTCTATCAGGAAGCAGAACAAGATCCACTGCAGGAGTACAGTAAGTATCAGAATGTTCTCTTCATTGTATTGTTTATGCGGATATTTTCTGGGGGGGATGATGAGGAACTTCTTCTTTGCATGTCAAAGTCACTTAAGCTGAAACATCACTGCATTATTTACTGAAAGTCACTGTCACTGAAAAACTGAAGAAAAGTAATGCATAATTCTCTCAAACAGGAAAAGTATAATATTGAGGGTGTTACAATGGTACCCTTGTAAATTGAGGTGTTTTGGTATAGTTCTTTTCGTCGTTGAGTTACATGTTTTATATTCACATGATTTTCTCTCACATTTCAAGTTTTCAACCACTTTCTTGTATCATATTAGTTATTTATTAGAAGTGTGAAAATACAATTTTAAGACCTATGAAACATGGAGTGAAAAAATATTTATAATACTAATTTGATCTAACAAAAGGTGAGAGGTCTAACTTGTATTTTGTTTGTTCATCAGTTTCAAATGCCTACAATGCTTCTAGCCGACTACTTGACACAAGTGCAAAACTATAACATCACAAAAAATTAAATAAAAAATTAATTATTAATTTAGAAATTGACAGATTCAAAACCCATCAAATTTACGTGGATAGGTAGAATTTCTCTAATATTGGTTGAATATATTTGGATACAAGCCTAAAAGGACTTTTAAGAGTTTTTCTACCAAAAAATACTTTTTATTTTTTAATAGAGAAACTCTTAAAAGTCCTTCTAAATTGTATCCAAACAGGCTAAATGACAATTATTTGTAGAGTGTAAGCTGTTTCAAGACCTTAATTTCCGCATAACTCTCCAGCACCAGCCCCTTTATCCCCTCTTTAATGTCTTGCTCCTAATTGTTCCCTCATTTTTGCCATGCAGAGTGTGTTTGGATATACATTAGAAGTACTTTTGAGGGTTTCTCTACTAACAAATACTATTTATTTTCAATAGCAAAGTTTTCAAAAATACTTCCAAGCTTGACTCCAAATAGACTCTTTTTCTTAGTTGTTGTAGCCCAATTCCCCATTTTCACACCTCTTTCTCACATATCCTTACTATTTGGTGTTCTATTCCCTTACCAAATTTGCTTCTCCTAAATCCCTTCCTTATTTGCATCTTATACAGTGATGGGGTTCTATCACAATGCATGTTTTGGTTATGAACTGGTTAAAATTTTTAACTAATTTTACTCATCATAATATAGATGACAATGACCTAATGCTGGGAAAGCAAATGAAAATCTCTGCTTGCAATATTCCTTGAAGTGCATCTACCTTTTAGCTGCAACTATGTCTTTAGTGCTATGAGTTAAAACTTAAAAAGCAGGATTTATTTTTTTTATTTTTATTTTTATTTTTTTTTGTGTTTGATATGGAAATCGTATGCATTCTTACATTTTATTGCTACTATCTTGATCAAAAGCTGAATAACGTACATTGATATTATTGGAACACTCACCTTTGTCTCCTCTTGTTTAAGGTTAAAATTTGCAAGGCAGAAAGGGATGTTTATGCAGCTATCATGGATGAAAAAGTTGCTATGAAGATTGGACCCGGTCATTTTGAACCACCTAGTGGTTCCCAAAGATGGTCCTTAGCTTTAGAGGGAAGAGACTATAAGATTTGGGAGGCATCATAATATAATTGTTTGTATCTTTTAAGTATATGTTCCTTTAGAAAATCATCACCACCTTGTATATGTTTCTTAGGAGGCAAGTATAAAATACAGAAGAATAGATGATGTTATGGCAAGCTACAACTGAAGTGAGTTGAAATGTGCCACTGTTGCTGGACGTATATATGCTGCGTAGAAGCAATATTTTAGAGAAGGTTGCAGAGGGTTCATTTCAGCCAAATGCTGGCTCATCTGAAATTAGAAAGCCTTCATATTATACTTTACTATATTTACAGAGACAAAGTATAGAAAGATATTTAGGATGACAATTGCCATTGTTGGTACATAATTCTTTGACTCCTGGATCAAGATGGCTATGTATTAAGAGAAAATTTGGATGGGGGGTTTTGGAGAAAAGGAAAGGGGGTGTAATGTTTTTATTTTTGAATTAAGAAAGTATATAGTGTTTATATAAATGAATAAGAGATGATCATCATTTCATGATAGCCTATCATTTTATTGCTTTTACTTTAAAAATTCTTAAATTAGTGAATTACTGAATGAAAAAATTATCCTCAAGTCTCCTTTTTCTTGAAAATCTTTTATCCCAAACAGGCTGTAAGCTTACAAATAATAAGCTTATGAATTTTTAGTTCTTGATTTTTCGCTCATATTTTCTTGCCTACAGGAGATGATGAATAGTTTACTAATCTAAGGTGAATACAATCGGAAAAGTTATGTGCACGTTTTTTTCAGGTTGTGTGACCGTCGCAAATTTTCATGTAACAATGTTCTTGTTTATATTTGTTTATTTTGTAAACAATAATTTATTAAAATAGTTTTCGAGATTTTTTAAGGTATAAGTTTTCAATTCATGTCAAATTGTTAATTTGAACTAGTTTTACAATGTTAAGGATTTGAATCTTTGAGATATTTTAGAAAGGGTGTTACCTATTTAATTGCTATTCACTGCTTAAAGACAAAATAAATAAATAAGGCACGACAAACAAATAATCTAATGTATTTGTAAGGGTCATTAAACTATGGTGTCAAAATGATTTGCAAGTGACGGTTAATGTTATTTATGTGTAATGTACATATTAAATCTGTGCAAAGCTTTGCCTGTCGCTGTACAGAGAAAAGCCTTTCGGCTCATTTATTCTTTATTGATTTGGATGGATATAACCATCCTTGTAAACACGAGTGAAAACATTGTCTCTTCCTTTTAAGTTTGTCATACAATTGTAGATTTCTACGAAAGGTTAAGGTATCTTCTTAATGAGGTTTCATATATTTTGGGTCATTTTCCTCTATGATATGGATCACTCTAATGTACTACAATCAGCTTGAGGGTTAAGGTAGGGAATGTATTGGATTGAAATTTTTAAAGATTTTTTTATCATAAAAATATGATAATATTTAATTAATTTTTTAAAATAACATAAATAAATTTGAGTTAGTATATATGTCTATTTGACATATAGTTACACACAATTTTAGTGTTGATTTTGAATGAGATTTAACAATATATATTTTGTGTGTCACTATATCCTATATCCACACTTTTTAATAATATACCAACATATATTGTAGTTATTGTGTGGGTAAAAGTAATTTTTAGTGACATGTATAATGTCACTATAAGGTGTGTGTCACTATATGACAATTTTCTTATAGTGTAATTACCTATACACTGTCAGTGTAAAGTTTTTTTTACATTGACAACTAATTATATATCTTAATTGTGTCACGTCACTGTTAAAAGTAAATGTGTTTACAGTAACATAACACAATTAAGAGATATAATTGGTTGTCAGTGTAAAATTTTTTTACATTGGCAATGTATATAGGTGATTAACTCAATAAATTTTGTGATATTTAAAGAATGAGTCTTTTGATATTGAAAAGTACATAAATTTTGATGGATTATTCTGTAAAGTAAAATTTGTATAACTTTTGGATAAAATTGATTAATACCATAATCATCTAATTGAAATATACAAAATAATTCATAAGAAAAGGGAGTTGAATTGCATGTATAATTTTTTTAAATCGATTTTCAATCACGTTAATAAACACGCTAGTTAATAATTGAAATAACTTGATTATAATATAATTTTGTTTATTTTAGTTTGGAATTCCTATGATGCCTATTTTTTAGGGAGAAATGAAGATAAGTCATTTTTTTTATGGTTGTACGAAAATAAGAAATTTCAATTGCAAAGTTTTATACCTGAGTTTTTCATAGTCAAAGGTAAACCGTTCTTTCAGCCTTAATTCCATGATCCAAATTTGGATTTCCATGCTTTGTTTTCGGTGCCCATGTAGCATATAAATACGATCCCCATTCAACATGAATATTCGAACCACTTCTTGTATTTTTTCAGTAGTCCTCAAGGGAGGGTTCCGTTTTCCCTTGCTGGCCAGGGTTAGAGGTATTCCAAACCTTGGCCAACATCAATAACAAAGAAAAGGAACAAATATGGCGAGATTAGAAGTCAATCATTTTTTTCTTATTTTGCTCTCTTTGGCCGTCATTATTCCTACCCTGAATGCCAATATCTTGGAGAAAGATGAGTATTGGCAGAACCATGTCAATGACTTCGATCCTTATTGGCAGGAAAGGGCAAAAACTGCTAAAAAAAACAGCGAGGCTGCTTATTTTCAAGACCCCTATTCACTCTCCGGCAACCTCACTACCTCTGTTAGCGAGTGAGCCCTCTCATACCAAATCATATTCAATTTCATATCATGCATATATATTGTGCACACATTTTGATCTAGTACTTAATGCAATTATTTGATATATATAGTTTATATTATATTGATAAAGCGAATTTGGATGAATGTATAACAGCCTTATAGTTGGAAAGAATAATGCAAGAAGGAACCTGAAGGGGAGAAACAAGGGAGCAGAATGCTTGGCCACCAACCCCATTGACAGGTGCTGGAGGTGTGACCCTAACTGGGCCAACAACAGGCAGAAGCTTGCAGATTGCGTGCAGGGATTCGGCAGAAACACGGTCGGAGGCAAAGGTGGTCCCATCTACGTTGTCACAGACCCCTCAGACGATGAATTGGTTAACCTAAAACCTGGGACTCTTCGTCACGCGGTCACACGCGATGGTCCACTCTGGATCATCTTTGCACGCAGCATGCTCATCACCCTCCAGCAGGAGCTCATCATGAACAGCAACAAGACCATCGACGGAAGAGGAGTTGAGGTTTACATTGCCAACGGCGCTGGCCTCACTGTTCAGTTTGTCAGTAACATCATCATCCACGGGATCAAGATCTACGACATCAAGGTCGGTCAGGGTGGCATTATCAGAGACTCCGAGACCCATTTTGGGCAAAGGACTATGAGTGACGGCGATGGAATTTCCGTCTTCGGTGCTAGCAACATTTGGATCGATCACGTTTCCATGAGAAACTGCTCCGATGGACTCATTGATGTCATCATGGCCTCCACTGCTATCACCATTTCCAACGGCCATTTCACTGACCACAACGAGGTAATCATAATTCTGTTAATAAGATTTGGTGTATATCTTATTTTACGTAATGTGTGTGCATGCATGCATGGTGCAGGCGTTCCTGTTCGGTGCTCGTGACGAATGCGAATCTGATAAAGTCATGCAAGTGACACTGGCATTCAACCACTTTGGGAAGAGATTAGTTCAAAGGATGCCCAGAGTGAGATATGGTTTTGTGCATTCGGTTAATAACGACTACACTCACTGGGAAATGTATGCCATTGGTGGCAGCCAGAACCCCACCATCATCAGCGAGGGTAACCGATTTATAGGTCCTAACATCAGGTTTGCAAAAGAGGTATGTATTTAAATCCTTAAACATTAAACACCATCAGGAGCTAATGATAAACATTCCATAACATAATTTGTTTGGTGTTTGTGAAGATTACAAAGAGAGAATACACAGATGAGAGCATTTGGAAGAATTGGCAGTGGAGATCAATCAACGATGTATACATGAATGGAGCATTTTTTGTGGAATCAGGGCCTGAGCTCGTAAACAGACCCTTCTCAAGGCAAGACATGATCACAGCTAAGCCAGGGAGTTACGTGGGAAGGCTGACACGCTATGCTGGAAGCCTTAGGTGCAGAGTGGGTCTACCTTGTTAATTACTATGGCCTTGCGTGCCCATTCATTAATTCCCTTCTTCACAATGTCAAACGATGGAAAGACAGAAAAGAGAGCAAAGCAAGATGTACCCACCAATTTATATGGCTTTATTTTTTCCTAGAGAATTATTGTACAGTCATGAGAGAAAACCTCACATTTGACTGCCACAGAAGCTCATAGGTGGTGTCGAATTGTACTTCTAAAAAAAAAAAACAGAAAAAAAAGAATTCTAATTCTCCCCAATTTTGGCTTAATTCTATCCATTTTGTAGCCCTTCACACGAATGAATTGATTTTTTTTTATTCGGATTATATATATTTTTGTTATATACAAGCAAAAAACAAATAATTAAACTAATAAAATACAAGCAAAAATAAATTTAATAAGTTCATTAACATTTTCTATGGATGAATGTTTAATTTATTCACCCACAATAATTTTAAAATATTTTTTTTATATTATTTCAAAATACTCTTTGTAACACTATAATTTTTCTTTTATGCATATTTATTTTATATATATGTATATACTTATGCATGTGATGCTTTTTGTTATTTTTATCCTTATGAATTAAAAGTTAGATTTGAGATGACCTTACATTTAAGTTACATATATTTTATACCTTAAAGTGCAAGTTGACTTAGAGAGGGTAGAGGTATACAAAAATAATTCAAAAAAGAAACTTACATAAGTTAAAATTTTCAAATTTCTAGATAGAAGTTAGAGAGAAATACTCTATGACCTCAATATCTCATTTGTGAAGGTTGTGAATCTTCATCAAATTAGAAATTGAAGCATTTTGTAGTTCTAGCACCTCTAGATCTCCTTTTGACATGTTTTCTTTAAAAGGAAATATTTCCTTTTAAACATGTTGTGACAATGATACGGAGTGAGGCACTTTCTACTTTATCATAAAAATGGTCGCGTGTACATGGGTCCCCTAGGTGCACCTTGACCTAATGAGTTTTAAAGAGAAATGTTTGTTTAATCCTCAATTTGTTATATTATACCATACTTTTAACCAGTGTTTTAAAACCCGGACCGACCCGGCCGGTCGGACCGGTTGGACCGGGAACCGGTGGTCCAGCCGGTCCGAATCTGAAGTTGGATCGGTTATGCAGTCGACCCGTTTCAAACCGGATTGAACCGGTCAATTTTCCGGTTCAACCGGTGAACCGGTGGGTCAAACCGGTTCAACCACTTTTTTTTTTAAGGGACCATAAATCACAAAAATAATAATGAAAATTGAATCTCTTAATGAAAAAGCAAGGAGTCTTATTAAATATAACAATGACTACTTGTTCTAATATATTTGTTTGCAATATATACAACTTAAATAACTTTTATAGTATATTATTAATTTTAAATTATATATTTAATAATTCAATATCTATGTAAATATTACATATATTATTTTGTGATATTAATTGCAAGCATATTATATATGTACATATTATTTATATTTTTAATTTGTATTAATATACCGTTTAACATGTAATTTTTTTATGTATTTTTTTACAAAATAAAAATAAAAATAATTTTAAATAAGATAGAAAAATTTAAATTTAAAATAAGATATGAATTTATTAAAATTTATAAGTATAAATATATTTAATATGAATATTTTTTAATAAAAATAAATAAAAATCGAGTCATGCGGTTCAACCAGTGACCCACCGGTTCAACCTTTGACCCACTAACCCAATACCTTAACCGGTTCGATGACCGGTTCGATTTTTAAAACTATGCTTTTAACCATTATTTTTTTCTTCTATTTATAATCATATTTGTTGGCAAAATTCACTTCTTTTTATTAAGTGGGCAACAAATAGGTAAAAGGATGTAAAAAAGGAAACCCATGCAAGTAAAGACCAAAAAATTGAAAAAAAATGGTTGAAACTTTATGCATGGTTGTTCTACATATAAGCACACGCTAGAACATGTACATCCATGATTGGAAGTGCAATTTTACTTCCTAATATGCACGATAGTGCATGAGTGATGCATGCCCCAAGATTAAAAGATTCACACCTATATACTTTTGAAGCATGGTCGTGCTTGCAAGAGGTTATCCTAATTTTAATTATAAATAGGAGTATTCAAAGTACATTGTAATCATCGTTTTTAGTTTTAGTTTCATATTTTCTCTTTTTCTCTCTTTCAATGTCCTTGTTGAGTTTCTATAAAGGGTTAAAAGTCAAACTCTTGGAGAAAGATTCTTCCACTTACAATTAATTTTTCCTCTTTATTTAATGGACTTTAGTATCATGTTAGGTTATTCACCTATCATGTCTAGCTAATTTCTCTATTCTAGAGTTATAATGTAATTGTTCTTTGTAAACACTTAATGATGAATTGAATGAATTCTTTTTATTAATTGTCATATTATTTTAGTGTTTTCTATTCTTATTTAAGTTAATTATAAATGTATGATCTAACTCTTTTGATTAAAAAAATCATAAAATAATTGAATTATGACAATTTGCATAATTAAACTTATTTTCTTAATTTTCAATTTAATTAATTTATTAATTTGCTTCTACATTTTTATGTTTTATTTTATGAATAAACCTCTTATAATCAATTTGATATTTTTCTAAGGTAAACATTGTTGACTTACTGGATTAAGGGGCACTAACAATTTCATAAGTAAATTGGTAAACAACTTTTATAATTTGTGAAATTTATCTTAGGGGGATCGGGAGTAATAAATCACAACTCTAAGATTTTTAATCTTTGAATCTTAATCAATCTATTTTCTACTTTAAGTTTCTAAATTACTATAATGTATTCTCACTATCAATCTTATTTCTTCAAACTGCTAAAAATCAAGATTAAGTTGGTAATTGCTTGAATTTAGTCCTTTACCTTTGATATCTAGACTTTATTCATTGTTACTACTACAATAAGACACACTTGTCTTAAGTGTACACACAACTAGTTTCTGGCGCCAATCTTAGGGATAGGCTCCAAACAAATATCAATTGAAAAGGATTTTAGATGATTTGAATATCTATTTTATTTTATTTTTGTTTTACTTTTTGTTGTTAACCACTCTTAATTGTTTGTGTTTTATTTTATTTTATTTTGAATTTTTGTTGTTAACCACTTTTGATCTCATGTTTTTATGCTAACCACTCAAAAAAACTTGTTTTAGAGTATGGTTTTGAGATAAAAAAAATATCTCGTAGATTGAAGAAGGAGGCATAAAATTCAACCATATTAATTAGCTGATGTGGGAGAATACATGGCACATGAAGAACATATATGGAATCAAAAAATCACGTGGAGCAGGAAGAAGCCATCATGGAGGAAGAACACACTTTGGAGGAATGCTTCTTCCCTGCCATTGAGGTGACTAACAACATCCTTCGACTTACAGTGACTGCTAACAACTTTGAATTGATATCGAACCTCATATCCATAGTTTAGAGTAGTGACCAATTTGGAGGGCAACCTATTGAAGATTCTCTAGGTTACTTCAAGAGATTTTTGAGGATCATTGGTACAATCAAGTATAACAACATTCCTAGAGACATTGTTAGGTTTGACTTGTTATCCTTTTCCTTGAAGGATAGGATGCTATAGTGATTATCATCCCTGCCAGATGGTTGTATTACCACATGAGAGGAATGCACAAAATGATTTTTAATGAAAAACTTTCCTTTCTCAAGGTTCACCAAGATACAACAAGACATCATGAATTTTGCACAATATGATCAAGAGTCATTGTATGAGACTTGAGAGAGAGATTCTAAGACTTTTTGAGAAAATGTCCTCACCATGTATCATAAAGGGTAGTTAATACAGATCTTTTCTAGTGGACTATCCTACCAAAATAAATCTTTCATGGATGCTATCTATGGAGGAAAGTTGATGAAGAAGTCACCTAAGGAAGTTCTTGAAATAATTGAAGACACATGGCCTCCAACAATTACATGGCCCCAATTATAGTAAACAAATATTAAAGAAACTAATGAGGACATATCTAATGAGGAGCAACCTTTAGAGAACAAAAATTGGTTGTCTTATCCAAACACATGGAGACCCTGATGTGGGCACAAACATAGATGGTGGGAACTCCTATTCCTCTACTCATATGTGATCAATGTGGAGCCATCAACCACGATACTAAGGATTGTCAAATGAGTAATGTCTTGTATGCCTGACTTGATATTTGCATATCCATTACTTGTGAAATGTTATCATCAATCAACTCATATAATAGTCTTAATACATTATTGTAGTCCTAGTTAACAATAATGTTCAACTATAGATGCTTTAAGAATAACATTCTTTGTTCAAAGAACCAACATAATAATAATATTGGTCACACCTAATACATCTTTGAACGAACCAGTTATTCTAAAGTTGTTATTATGCATGCGTAATTAAACATTAAAATTAACTATTAACATAATAATTGAAATGCTCTTATCAAAGTTGTGTGTTGGCTATACTAAGGTTAACTCTAATAATTTTGACACAACTTATAATTAAAGAGTTTAGATATCATTCTTCAACTTTTCAAGTCTTACTGTATTTATAGACTTCTTAAAATATGACAATTGTATTAAGTTAAAGCACTTCAAGACTGTTTTGACTTTTTCTTGAATGTTTTTTTTCCTTTAATGTATGGTTGATTTTGTGCGTTGGTTCATGCATGCTTGAGGTTTAGATACTTTTCAAAAGGCTTTAGCATTGAAAAAAGTATAATCATTTGCTGATTTCAATTAAACACTACACTTGCCGGATTGCATATTCATTTTGTCGCTAACTTTCTTTTTCTGGACATTGCACCGGATTTACCACTTTCTTGGTAACATATATGTGTGCATATAAAAAAGAGTAAATAAAATATACATGCATTTATAATCGGCTTAGGTTGTCAAAACACTTATCTTTATTATCTTTTAATGTATATAGAGATATATTGTTTAAAGCACAAAAATGTTGAAAGAAGCTTTGATCTATAATCGAGACTTACACACAAACACATATTTCTACCTCAGTTAAAATTTAACCAACATAAAAGGAAAATTTTCTATTTTGGCTTATTTACGGTGGCTTAATAACTGACTTAGAAGGCCCAAAAGAGCCAACATAGAAGGGTCAATCTCATTAGTGGTTTCAAGTTGATATAATTTATTCTTTATTGCATTATATATCTTCTATTTTTTTTCTTTTCATTTTTCACTTCAAGTTATTCTAATTAATGAAAAGTTAATTTTCTTACGTATCTTTACTTTCTCATATAGCTTTAATTACTTTTACGTTG